CCACTTGTGGTATGTTGAGTAGATACTACAAGCATTGCCTGTCTTAACTGCAAATGAGAGAACCTGGGGCAGGATTAGGGCCTCTGAAATAAAGACCGAGGACAGAAAGAGTTTGTTTACTACTTGGACACCTTGCTGTAGATACGCACAACATGCAGTGCTTACACTTACAGTACTGAGGGGATTATGTCCCATTTTGAGCTTGCTCTCTTGCATTATCATGTACATGGCATCTTACAACACACTGCGTGTCGTACCTGGGACCAAGCTGGACTCACGATGAGTGCAGCTGGGAAAGAAGAGGGTATGTTTAAAGTTTTTCCTATCAGTGAGAACATTGCTCAGTACACTGATTGATCTTCCTTTGGCACTTTATGAGGCTCCTGCTTTTTTTTTTAAAAAAAGTGAAAGTGGAAGATGCATGCTAAACGAGAGACTGCAGGAAAAGTGTGACAAGCTTGATGACAGAAGCAGAACACAAAAGCTTTCCGAAGAAATGTAATTTCAGTCTTGGACACAGAAGATAAGATCTTAAATGCATGTGTCACAAACTCTGTGTTGCTGTGATGAATGGGTTTTTTTGGATGCTTGATTTGAAACTCTGACATTTAACTTGCAGAAATGGTAGATGCTCACAACCGCAACTGAAAACTCAATGCATACTGTATTTTGATAAACTATAATAACAGGCTAAATCATCCCAAAAATCCAATTCCAGTTGTCTTCAGTTGGCCATTTTAAATTACTAGATACTTCTTGGCCTTAATCTCTCCATGGCTCACTTGAATTTTCAGGACCGCTATGGAAATTAATTCAGGTTGGGGAAGCATTTCCCTAGGAGGGAGTTAAACAGCTCTGTGGGAACAGAATTTGAATTGTATTTGGTAAAGGAGAGATGAGGCTGTACATGGGACAGTGAGAATAACAAAACATGGAATAGCTCCTCAGTTAGGGGAGCACCATGCATTCTTCTTGTTGGGTAAGGCACAAGTTCTGTAGAGAAATTGTTTGATCACATTATTAAAACATTCCTATTTTTAGGTGTATATTAGGTGCCAAAGTACACTGAATTAAATCTTTGTAGGTATTTTTTGATACTAGATTGCTTTGCAACATTAATGTTCGGTTAACGTAGTCTGTATGTGGAATTTAACAGTGCTAGTGCATGGCACATGGAAGCATTAGTTGGGATTTTGCTAAGCACTGTGTAGACTCCTTAAGTGACACATTTCACATGCCAAAATGCCTAGCATTCATGGACTCAGAAAAGGGTAGGTGAAGGGGAATGCTTCTCATCTAAACAGTCATTGCACAATAGAGCTCTGAAGTTCATAGGAAATTTCAGCTGGGAAAGGGGACTGACAACCAGTATTACTTGTTCAACAGTGAACTTTGGAATCAGTGTTTTGAAGACTGAGAAGAGATTTTTAACAACCAAAGTGACCATCTTTAGAACATGGATTTTCCTAGCCATTTGGATAGCTAAATCTCATGCTTAGTTTTTCTTCTTTCTATATCTGAATGATTTGCAGGGTATTTTGTCTCACCTTAGCCATGTAGTGTTGCCCTATTCATATCCATCTAGAATACCATCACCAAGATAATTTTCTCAGCCTTTTGTTTTGAGTTCTGTCTCAATAGTTCACCTGTACCAAGTCAAATATAAATACAAACACTCACCTTCAATTTTTTGACACCAGTCATCTACTCTTTCCATAGCATGTCTTGCTTGGTTTTGAGAAAGCACCTTCCTTTTCCTCCAGCAAGTTCCTTGAGCCAGCCTCTGTTGTCCTTTCATTTCAGTATCTCATGTGCACCTTCTTGCTTGTATTCATTATTCCATGAAACCTCTCTCATGGTTCTCTGTACCCCTCTGTCAGAAATACTCTAATGTGGGAGCGTGTGCCATTCCTCTCAGTATGACCAGTATTCTGTAGCCTGCTCAAATTTTCCCATTTGCCTAAATTTTTCTGGTTTTGTGCAACATTTTCAAGGACTTTGGGAGAAGGGCTACCACTTTGTTCTGCTAGTACAGTGCTTGGCAAAGTGGACTAAGGTGCTAAGGGGCTATTATAAGAATAAACTAAGAATGATTTTCAGATAATGTCAATCTGCTGTGCTCAGGAAGAGAAGAAAGGAGAGTGGGAAATATCCTTGCAGCTCTCCTGAAGCAAAGGAGAGATAGTTGGTGACTTCAGAAACTGGAACGTGTCAAAAGAAAGTAACTTGTTGCACAACACTGACCCGTGATAGTGAATGCTAACAGGGGCTTGGAAAAAGTGGGGAGAGGGGAGTATCAAGGTGAGATTCCACCAGCGTGTTGTTCCATCCCTTCCTTTCACAGGGTTGTTCATCTGGAATGACACCTGTCACCATGCATCATAAGAGGCAATGTCAAAAAAGTGTTAGATCCAATTCTTCAAAGTTATCTCAGTATTAAATGCAGGGTGTTGCTGTCAAGGAAAACCACCCATAACCCTACAAACTGGTTAGACTGGCTTTAAAGCTTAGAATAATTCCGAGCAGTTTGTGCGGATCTAAGTGGTGATGGCGGGGATGTCAGGTTAATCAGCAAAGTCAGGTTCCAGAGGAATAAAATGACCAGCTGAAGGCCATCATATCTTGCTGTCTTACAGGAGCTGAATCCTCATGATGAGTCTGGGGATTAGAGGTGATAAACATCACAAAGTGCAGCCTTAGAGGACATACCCTGTTTTGCCAGGCACCCATGGCTAGGTGTCTCTTCTACTTGCATGATGATACAGATCTCAGAAAGTTCAGGTCTAATTATTTGCTTCACTTGTAGCTCTCATTTGTATGTAGCCTTCCCTCCCAAAGGGAGTCTAAAGTAGATTACAGACAATAGCACTGACATCGTATAGCTCAATGTAGAGGTGCAAGAGGCAGCAAGTGGAGGCTCTGCACAACATGATGTGTGGGAGGTTTTGGCAAAAGTTGTCCAAACAAGCATTTGAAAGTTGCATTTGCCAAAGGATCCTGGATTTCCAGGCGAAGGAAAAAGCTTTTAAAGCTCTTATCTGAATGATCCACAGCAAGCTAGAGGGAGTCCACAGATCTGCTGAATATTTCATTTCAGTCAGCAGGGAGGGAGCTGTGCGCTCATGTTTGTGAGTAGAGAGGCTCAGGGAGGGTTGAAAGAGAGCAATGTCCTCTCTCCTGAGTTAATATTTAGACAATGCTACCTCTTTTCTTCATAAATGCTTCTATTTTTACATTTCTGCATTTCCCAGAAAGCTTTGGGAGTAAGCTCTCCAGAAACTTATATATGGTGTTTAGCCCTTGCTGTACAGTTACTTCTCTTGGCAGAGCTGGGCTTGATGTTCTTCAGCTTCTGATTACAGGATACGTATTTTTCATTTTTAATTCCTTGGTGTGTCTTTACTCAGATTACCTCCTTCCTTGCCAGCAGTGGAGGTTAGGTACCACCACAAAGTAATTACTAGCGCTGGAGATGTACATGCTTCTCCCTTCTTCCAGACACCCAGCTTCTGCCCAGTGCCTGTGTGCCATATGTGTGTGTGGCCTTAATAGCAAGGGCAGACAGCAGCATGGAGGCCGTAAGCTTGCTCTTATTTTTGTTACCTGTTTGCAGCTGAACTCTGACATCTCACCAGCTTGATACACTCGGATGTGTAAGGGTCTTATGCTGGCCTTGCAGACTGCTGGTGGCACAGCCACAGCACCATGGTGTTGATGCAGCATGCACTTAATTCGAAGCTCTGTGGCTGTTTACTAGCTGTATTTTGTACGTGCTTCCTCTCTGCTTTAATTCCATATATGCAGTAAATACTCTGTATGAAGGCAGGAGAAAGCTTTGAAAGAAAGATCAACACTCTTTTCTCTTATGTATATTTGGCCTCAGATTCCAGCTGCTTGATTTATGGACATGCTTCTTGCAACTACTGACGAGTTGTGGCAGAGGACTGTGCTGTATGCTGTTGGGATGCAGTACAGCTGGTGTAGTGTACTCTCCTGCAAGAGAAAAGAACTTGTATGACTGAACTCTAGCAGTAGGGATGGGAATTTTCTTAAGGAAGAATTTCAACTGCCAAAAACATGGAATTGTTGGAAAGACTGAATCCTTCCAAGTTCTTGATCCTCTATCATACTTTAGACCTGGGAGAGTAAGTCCCTTTTCAGCAAACCAAACGGTGGCTGCCTCATGAATGGGAATGGGGAGCTACCAACTTACCATGCCAGCTTTCTTCCAGTTCTTGATAGTGCAAGGCAAACCTTTCAGCTTTGTCCAGTGAAAAGTTGCACAGCTTTCTCCTGATTAGTGAGCCTGCAGTATGTGGGGCTAGGGGACAATTCTGCCAACACGTGATGCATGTTTCATTGCTGCCAGTCAAAATATGCATCCTGTGCTGTGACTTCCAGAGGCTCTGCGGAAGAAATTAGCATGATCACCACGGCACTGGTGCTCCTGTGAATTCATTAAAGCCTTTATCCTCTTTTATACTTACTAAGTGAATCCTTGGGGGACAAATTTTGAAGTTGAGAGCGTGAAAAATGCTTTGTTCTTAAAAGCATAGTATCACTACTCCAGCTGTTTGATGATTGCAAGCAGTAGAAGGAACAGAAGTCTGGCTAAATGCTGTCTCTACAAGGAGGAATAAAACCGAGTCAGCAGGTGTTAGCGTGTGTAGGACATGGGTCCCTGGCTGCTTTACCCAATGGCTTGTTTAGTCCTGTTCTGCTATGTGTTAGCAGCTTTGGGCAATGTACAGCGATTAGTGCTCTGTGTCTTTCCTCGCTGCTCCTCTCTGTATCCTGGGGCTAGGATTAGGTTACAGCCCTGAAATGGCACGGTTGTCTGCATTGACTGAGAGCTGAATAGTAAGGGCAGAGTTCTGTTGATAGACTGAAATGCCTTCTGTGTTTGTTTCCCATCTCTGGAGGAAGGATGACATTATTTTCGTTTGTAGTCTTTCTGTCTGTGACCTAAACATGTGGTGTCCAATTTCCTTCCCTGGCAGGTGACCTGGAAAATGAGGAATGGTGTCTGGGTACAGAGCTGACTCCAGCAGCCATAAAGACTGAGCCAGCATTGTGTGAGACGTCAGGCCTTGCTCCCTCAGTCAGTCTCACTGTCACGGCCACGTCGCTGGAGGGGGAACAGCCTGAACTACAGATGGATGCCCTGGTACATGCAGACTTTCTGTTCTCCTCTTTGTGCAATTAGCTACAGATTCTCCTAAGACTCTGCATACTAGTGTAGCCTCCTTGGTGCCAAAGGTTGTCAATTCAGGGTGCACTCTGCAATCTGCTTTAATGTTTTTTGACGTTTGCTGGTGTCCCACTGCTGCTGTAAGAGCTTGTGTGTCAGAACACTTATCTGCATTTTCAGATCTTAATGGCTGGATGCACAACTTTCTCTTCTATGCTAGCCCCAAAGACTGGGGCTCATGTGGTTTTAAAATTATTTAAACAGTTTCTAATGAACCAGTCCCACCTGAACTGACTAACCTATTTGCCCTATCAAGCCTGTGACAAGCTAAGTGTCTTCCATAATAACTTGCTTTAGTGCTGCTGTGCCTTTTCCTGATCAGAACAAGACTCTTTGTTTGAAATGACTGGAGAGTTTCCCTGTTTGCCTGCTAAGTCACTTTTGCCAGATCTATGAAGCTTTGACATCTTGAGCTGCTACTGCTTCCACACCGACCTGCCTCAGAAGGAGCTTTTGCGATGCCTTTCTGACCACAACTGGAGCAGACAGTGGGCATTCTCAAGGGCTTAGTTTGGCTGTGGTTGAGTTAAGGAGAATGAACTGTGGCAGCTGATGGCTCACCAGAATACCCTGTTAGTAGAGGAAGAAGCATGACTGCTCTTGGTCCCCAGGGTGCGATGTCAATCCAGGCCAGATGGAGTTAGTATAAGCCGAAAACAAATGTTTCCACTTGGATGTGGGTCAGAAATATGTGCAACAGAAATTATTTTATGAGAAACTGAGAAAATTAAACACAAGTTTCCTATCATCCTCTTCTTGTCTGAATGTGCTGTCCCCGGTACACGGTCCTATTGTAGCTTGGGATGCTGTGATTTGCAAAGAGTATACTGGGACTAGCTGTGGCTCATTACTGTTGCACAGATTAGTTACACAGGTTATTGAGAGAGATCTTCGCTGCAGTGAGCATGCTGATGTGCCAGACTGACTTTCTCAAGCCTGGGACTGTAGCATTCAGGCAGACTCTGGGCAACAGCTTGGCGGCCTGGTGCTGCAGCCCTGTCAACAGGGCAAGCCAGACTTCTTCCAAACTTCAGTCAGCTATGACTCTCTCTTTTCCTGCTTCTCACACCATGAAATGAACTTGGGTTCGATAATCTGGTGCTCAGTGACTGGCACCTTGCTCTTGCTCCCAGTTGACGACAGTCTTGAGCAGGCTGTTCCCCACTGCCAGGAGCGTTTCTGTCTCTGCTCAAACAGACTGTGCAGTCCGGCAAATCCTGGTGGCAGCTCTGTTGCTAAGAGAAGTAATTTGAGTGGGTTGCATGCTAGCTTTCAGTCTGAAATGTCATCTCTGAGGCATAATCTTTTATTTAGCTAAATATAGTAGTAAGAAAAGCCACAGTGGGAGTAGTCAGGGCAGTGTTCTCTGTAGCCTGGTTTAGCAAACTGTGTGAAGCAGTTAAAGCTTTGCCTGTAGCAGAGCAGGAGGAGAGGGAAACCTCTCCATTTATGGAGAAGTCATCCTTGTATCTTTCTATTAAGATTTTTAAGATGTGTGCTTTGGGTTTTCATGCTGTTAATTTCTCTTTTCTAGATGAAACCACTGAGCCAGAAAGTTCTTCCAGAGATTAAATTGGAGCCCCATGAAGTGGATCAGTTCTTGAACCTCTCTTCTAAGGAAGGTCTGTTAATTACTAAGCCAAAATGCAGGGGGAGATGACCAGAATGCACAGTGAATGTACTTTACCCTGGTCAAATATTTGGCTTCCTCATTCACCATGTTAATCTTTAGGCTGAAGCTGTTGCCTTCTAGGGATTCATCTCAGGCTGCTGAAGAGCCAGCCTCTCTCTGACCCATTTATGTGTGGTTTTTTTTCTTCACCCCCCCTCTGCTTTCTCATCACAAAGCAAATGATCCCTTTTTTTCTCTGTAGCATATTAACAATTGTACAGTTGCTGGAGGGACCTTGAATCCTTAAAGTCCAGGATTATTTAGGCTAGAAGAGAAATCAATTTGAGGGGACTTAACTAAGGTATAGAAAACATGAAGAGCGTAAGTGGAAACTTCACTGTTTTAATGTCTGATACAAAAGCAAGGATGCGAGTTATATGAAAGTAAAAGTTAGGTGCATCTGTTGTAGGATGTTAGTTTCAGTAGAGTTTTTAAGAACCACAACAATCCCTTTGCAATAATCTATAAATGAGGAAGGAGGAGCAGTGATCCCTGCCCTGAAAGTTAAACATGGTTTTGTGGCACATAATCTGTCAACCCAAGGAAGGTTTGAAAGAGCCAAATATTTGGGCTGAAATTTGAGCAGATAGCTGCATCTCAGGAACACTTGATGCTCTGTTAGTGAAGTCATTTGTGTAGGTAAGTGGAACTGCTCTAGGGAGAGAAGCAAGTTATGTAGTAGGTGGAAAAAGGGAGGCTGTATCTCAACCCAAGGCATATATTCAGTTGCTCAATTTGCGGGATTAAGGGCCTTGCTGTTTTTCAAGTGTATATTTTCTGGAAACTACTAGAGTTAAGATGCTAGACAAAAAGAGCTCATATATAATAGCTTTTTTTTGTTACTATTTTTTCCTTCCTCCTCCACCACTCGTTTGATCTTTTCAACTCAAATTTGCAAAGTGTAACAGAAGTGGAAGGTGACAAATTCAGCTCTGATTCTTCCTACTCCCAATTTTCATTGCTGTAAGTTTATGTCAGAGAAAAAAATGACTTAGTTATGGCTGCTTTGAACATCTGCTAAATTGTCCATGTAATATGAGTAGGTGAGACGTTGCTTTGTTTGTTTTGGTCCAGACCCATTTGGTCATAAGCAGCACTTTGCTTGCCAGTTCTAGCACAGATTCTTTTGGCTACAGGTGTGGTAGAAGTTAGCTTAGATAGCACAGTGTGAGAGAGGTTCCTGTGGTGGTTGTCTATGCTGCTCCTGTTCCGTCAGTACATTAAAGCCTTTGCTATCACTAGGTTGTTACTTCCTTTCAGTTGTACCAAACCAGGTCCTTAGGAGGCAGATTATTTCTCTCCTCCCTGTTCATATAACACCTTGGATGTGATACCTTCTCTTAAAAAATACTGGCAGTTTGCTTAATCCACAGCAAAGTTAAGAAAGACTATTGCTTTTGGAGAGAAAGCACACTGGCTCAGAGCCCTCTGTTAATGTGGTTTCCCAGGAACAGGGGACTTGTACTGGAGGTCTGTATTTCAACCTCAAAGCACTTGGAGAAGAAGCTGGAGTGTAGATAGAAACGACTGGAGCATATGCGCAGAGCTCTGTTTTGTCTGTTGAACCTAAAGATAGCTGCTGCATTTCATTCCTCCTTTGGAGACCTGCACGCTCTGAAAATCTTCCAAGTTTCCGCTTTTGCTTGATCTGTTTTTTAGCAGAGAGTCCTAGTCTTGGAAACTGGGGTGGGGGGGGGTGGGAGGGG